TGTGGACACACCCACAAACCACCCCAAAAAAAAAAAAAAAAAAAAAAAAAAATTGTCAATAAGTGCAGAAATCCTTTTCTTTGCCCCGTGACGTCACCACAACTTTTCACAGTGCCAAAGACAAAAGGAGGGATCCACGAAGGGGCCTTATGTCATTTTCTTCAGATGTAGGCTGTCCCGCAAGACTATGATTTCCATGAGCCCAGCGTCTGCAGACACAGTCTATGGGCAAGCTTATTGGAATTGTAGGTGGTCACTGGCAGTGAGGGGGGAGAGTATTCAGTAACAAAGCTAATAATAAATAAAGCAACAGGTTTACTCTAATTTCTCCTCCGGCCAATGCATATTCGTATTTCCTTCTTTTCCCTGTCACTCCATTCTCCAAAGAGCAGAACATGAAGGTGCCATGTGTGTCAGCATATAGTCTTCAACATTGCAGCCTACACAGAGTCATAGGGGGTGATTTACTAACCTAAACACACGCACGCACTAGGTGCGTGTGATTTTTACACAGCAAAATGTATTTATCAACCAAAAAGTCTCTAAAAGCATATTTCCACTAATGCCATATATGGAAAAATCATGCACATGATGCATATATAATGCTGCTTCACAGTTTAGACAAAAATGGTTAGCTCATGCATTTACATTCCTGCATTCATCAACGCAAGCAACACAACGTAGAGCTAATTTACACAACATCACCTTGCAAATTCATGCTTGGCTTTGCACAAACACACCTGCTGGGTGTGTACACACTACAAAAGGTGTTTAGATTCCACCCATAGATCATGCTGGGAGGGAACACACTACAGAGGTGTATACATGTTCGTGGTGTGTTTATAAGGTTAGTAAATCAACCCCATAGACTCTCTGCACATGGCACCGTGGTGCTTGCAGATTGGCTCAACACCATCACATGGAGTAGCTCACATGCTCAGATAGCTGAAAGGAGTTTGGAGGGGCCTGAAGGAAAGAAGAAGAGTAGGAGCTGCTTAGGTGGAGAGTAAAGCAAACCAGCTGCTTTGTACTGCACAGGTTTACTTTAAAACTAGATAAAGAGTTGCACCCGGAACATACAACAAAATCAGGCATCAACCATAAGCACAGCGAGAAAGTTTGTAAACATTTACATGTTAGTAGGAGCTCATTAGTACCTTTGAGGGGCTTTCTTCATGTGATCTCCAATGAACGTTGCATTGGTCATGCTCATAAGCGTGTTGGCCAGCGATATAAGTGAAAGAAGATGTTGCGTAGTGACAGCACGTGACACACCATAATTGCCTTTTCCGAGTCCTTCAGTAACTGACATTTTTCGGACAACGTCTATGATCTCATCGGCTGTTTTAAAGATGCACTGGTTAAAGCCTGGAAGCATCAGTGACATGTGGCCACCTCTTGAGAGTAGGCCAAACGACACTGGGCAATGCGGCTTAAGCATCCCAAGGCGTTCTAGGCAGACGTCATCGAGTGCTCCATTCAAGCCCCAGGCATGAAGACATGACATGAAGAGCTTGGCCGTGTCCATAGTTAGGTTGTACTCTAGTAGCGTTAATGGCTTCGACTTGCTCGAACGGTACTCTGGGTCGCTCTTGTCCCTTTTCTGTCGCATGGCTTCTTCATCTTCATCGTCATCGTCCAGGAGATGCTCTTTAATGTTCTCTTTGATGGTTTCCTTGACCTGTTGGAAAAGCACGGCGGCTCGTTTACCACCCAGGAAGGAGCCCCCTTTGTCAGAGCTGCCAGATGCTTTTTGTAAACTCTCCGGGGAGATAAGTGCGGTGTTTGGCCTGGAGGCTTCTTCAGTCAGTAGCTGAATAATGAGAGCTTCCACATCAAAGAAGAGCAGGTGTATGTCCGCGTCTGTTACATTTGTCTTTATTGCTTGCACCATAAGGGAGTTATTTGAATATTTAGGTAGATTCCCCTGTTAGAAAAAAATACATACATGTCACTTAAAATGTACACAACTGTGCACCTTGTTAAAAAGTTTACACACTACTGGAAAGCTTTTAAAGTAAAGTTAAAGTGATAGTAAAGCCTAAATTGTCTGTAGAAATTTCTACTGCTGACCATGTATGCAGCTGACCATGTATGCTTGCAATACATGCTGCCACTTGATATGTAAAAAGTTTTTTCTTTCCTCAGAATTTAGCTGCTTCCCTTCCCTGCTAGTCCTTCTGTCTGGTTTTAGGGTGGCTCCAGCCCCTTGAAGGGTCCTATGGAACAACCTTTGCATACGAACTCCCAGCTGGGACTAAAGTCAAATGCATTCTGTATGCTACTACACTGTATGCATTCTCCCTAACCAGGATTGCACCAATACTAGTATCGGTATTGATGCCAATTATTTGGGTGAGTACTTGTACTCGCCCAAATGCTCTGATGCCCAGCCAGACACTTCCTGTATCAGAAAGCCGGGCAGCATGTCATCACATGCTGCCCGGCTTCTTGATTGGTCAGGAAGCTGGCTCCACTTGTGACGAGGGAGCATGGAGCCGGCTTCCCGGCCAAATCAGGAAGCCGGGCAGCGAGTCATTACACGGCGCCCGACTTCCTGATTGGCCAGAAAGCCGGCTCCAAACTTACTCGTCACAAAGTGACAAGTAGCATGGGGACGGCTTCCCTGCTAATCGGGAAGCGGGGTGGAGAGTCATTACATGCCGCCGCCTGGCTTCCTTAATGGGACTTCCATTATCGGCAAGTACAAAAAAAAAAATATTGGTACTCGATACCAAAATACTGGCATCGGTGCATGGGACCAAAACATGAGATGGGAACAAAACAACCGCCTGCAAATAATTCCTGCACTTTTTTGTGCAACAGGCGATTATGCAAAGGTGTGAACAGCCCATATTGACTTCAATGTGAATCTGTTTTGCACGATATCGCACAGATAAATAGCCTAGGTGTGCACCAGCCCTAATAGCATTTCCCTGAACAAAAATCACAAATACTGTTGGAATATCATTTGAGAAAAATGTTCCATCCTGCTCTTTTTTGTTTCCCACTACGGTCAAAATTTTACTAGATATGAATAATCTTTGTTTTAATAATTTAAAGAAGGATGCAAGGACTTTTAAAAGTTAACCCTTGCAGTGTGGCTACCCCCACACTGCAGGGGTTAACTGTTCATTTCTTTTTCTAGGGGCAGCAATACAGAAGAAATATTTCACCTGACCCTCAGTCCTGCAGCAAGTGACCAATCACCGCCACCCAGCCTAACTGAATAAATTGAAGATAGAAGCTGATTGGTTACTATGGGAAAGTGCTCCAGATTCTCACTGCTCCAGTTTTGATAAATTCCTTTAAATAAATAAAAAGTTTTTTCTTTGCTCAGAATATATCATTTCATATTCACCTGACAAAAAAATGTAATATGTTAAGCCTTGACCATAATACATGAAAAAAAAACCTCTATGTCTCCTTCAAAAACTATTGAACATACAGCTATGTCGGCAATCATAGATTTTTGGAAAGAGCCTAAAAAAAAAAAGCATGGTAGATCTTATAAATATAAACTTGATTAAACATAAAACCCAATCGACCCTCTGTTTGTTGTGGCCTAGGAAAACGGCAATAGTATATTTCTAGGAACGATCTAAACAAAATTTCCATTACAATTAAAGCACAAAACACGTTGCCAAAGCAGTTTGCTAAGATTCAGTCTTTGAACCTTTGATTTTAGTTATCTATCCACACGCTCTAGGTGCATTGGAACGAAACGCTGGAGTTACGGGGCCAGATCATTGAATCATTTTTAGACATTTGAAACCAGATTCTCTGCGTTATTGAACCTCAAAATAAAACGGAGAAATCAACTCGATGGATGAGATGACATGCGAGTAACATTTTCAGAAACTGTACATCAATTTCATTGCACACAAAAACAGCAAAAAAAAAAAACACACCTTACTAGTTGGAGCTAACTTGTGTACTTGTGATTTGCTGCTTTGAGATAAATAAGACAAAATCCTTCTAGTTTTCATTCAGCTGCTTTCCTAATGTAAAGTAAAACCAAGCTGTCTGCTTTTCCCTTCAGGCTGGGTTCACACCTAGGCGTATCGAATATGCGCGTTTGCCGCGCGTTTTTACCGCAATTCGCGGTAAAAAAAAACACGCGACAAACGCGCGTTTGAGGGCTACCAGGCTGTATCCCAATGGATACGCACGGCAAATACGCCCCAAAGAAGCTCCTGTACTTCTTTGGGCGTAGGGCGTTTTGTAGCGCGTTCATACGGCCTGTAATACACCCAGGTGTGAACCATACCCATAGGAAATAATGGGATTTCGGTGTTTGAGCGTTTTTCAGAGCGTAGGAACGCGCTACAAAACGCCCAGGTGTGAACCAGGCCTCACATGTACAAGAGAAAAACAATTGATTTCAGTAAAGAATACCAATGGCCTGTGTTGCAAATTGGAAATAAGTTCCGAGTGCCACGCCTGCATTTTGCTACTCAAGCCAGTTCCAATGGATTATGTCAAAAACACAAGACATGTCAGCACAATTCATGTTAACATATACAAACCCATAATGCAAATGGAAGGCTTACTATTATTTTCTATTGTAATTAGTTTGTATACTCAAAAACTAACAAAAACTTGTAGGACTTTTTAGGTACCTCAGAATTAAACTAGACATACAGTAATACCTCGGTTCACGAACACTTTTGTTCGCGAACGATTCGGTTTGCGAACAGGAAGTAAAGCAACATTTTGCTTCCGTTCGCAAACTTCAAATCGGGTGACGAACACATCCGCAGTGCATCTTCCCTGCTCTGACACGTGGTCGTGGCTTCCTCTAGTTGAGATCACGGTCGCAGACAGACCTGTGCACACTTGCTGTGAAGCTTTTTTGTGTGCTTTTTAGTACAGTATTATTCAATCCAGCATGACACTTCCTGTATCAGTGCAAGCATGGTGGTAAAAAGAAAGTGCAGAGCGGTAATGAATTTACATATGGTACAGAACGGATTAACCTTATTTACATTGAACCTTATGGGGAAATTTGATTCGGTTTGCGACCAGAATCGTGGAACTAATTAAAGTTCATGGTACCACTGCATACCGAAAAAGGAAAAAAAAAAAAAAGTTCAGACTTTTAAAAGTACTCCAAGGATCACTACTTTTTTTCTAAAATAAAATATAACAATTTTTACTTTTAAACATATAAAAAAATTTATGGATTTAAAAAGGAAAACAAAAAAAATGGTCTTTAACATGTCTTAGACATATACCGAGGTAAAAAGTGGTAGTAGTTTTTATTGTTTGTCGTCGAGTATGTGAATTTGGAAGTGGTACCCAAAACATTTTGTACCGCTAACTATAATAAAGTCAATTTGTAATTAGTTTGTAAAATAATCCCAAATTCATAGCGATCGGAATGCATTTGTTTTTTTATAAGACATTCGGATAAAAAAAATGTTTTCTGCTTTTTAAAAAAAATAAAACCTCTTTCAGCACCCCCATCCAAGCTGCAACTTGGGTCTATATTTTGCCAGTTCATCTCCAGAATCTCAGATTGTGCTACAATTGGGAAGCTCTACAATAAGGAGAAACAGCTCTAGCACAGCAGTATAAAAAGCACGGCCGTTAAAACTCAAGCAGAACAAGCAGCTTAGAGCGGACATGAAGACAGCTGTAAGAAAGGCAAGACCACTAATGCAAGCAAGCTAGGTTAGGGCTGACCCCGATGCCCTTTCTAAGCTGCGCTGCAGGACAGAATGCAGCAGCTGGGAAGGAGGTGGAGGAAAACAAAGGGTGCTGCCAACCTCAGGGTTTTCGGTAA